AGCAACTTCCCTTTCTTACTTCCAGTTAGGCTTGTTCTCCTGCTGCTGTGTATTGATGTAAAATATGCAGTCAGTATTTTAACACTGTGAGGATACAGTATAATCGCAGACCGTCTCAAGCCCCCTTTTCCTTTATAGGACAAGGGGGAATGGTTTGAAGCTGCGCCAGGGCAGGTTTAGGTTAGACATTAGGAAAAACTTCTTCACTGAAAGGCTTGTCAGGCTCTGGAATGGGCTGCCCAGGGAGATGGTAGATTCCTCCTCCCTGGAGGTATTTAAAAGAAGGATAGATGAGGTGCTTAGGGACATGGTTTAGTGGTGGGATGGCAGGGTTAGGTTAAAGGTTGGACTCGATGATCTCAGAGGTCTTTTCCAACCAAAGTGATTCTATGATTCTATGATTCCTCCTTTCCTCTTTTTGTATCCCACCTATTAAACTGAAGACATTTGTTGTTAAGTACCGGGAAGCGACATACAAGAGGGTAAAGTCGAGCTGATGAGGTTACTCTGGTTTATCTTCTCATCTCTAATTTGCAGGTACCCCTGCTGCGTTTTGCTTTTGTGCAGAGCTTGGTCACAGCTGGTTTTAACTTTTCCTTTTCCTTGGACTTGTGTGTACTTGAAATTGATAATTTCTTTTTTGAAGCAGGCATTTTCAAATTGACTTTTTAAAAAAATTATTTTCATGAAGTGCAGCACAAGGATAAGGCGTTGCATAACCACGAAATAACCTCAAATCCAGCCAGTGGTGCAGGCTAGGGGTAAGGCTAGAAAGATCTGCAGAAGTTCCAGCAACACAAAGATGGAAATACCATGCATATCTGTAAGTTCGTCCAAAGGAAGCCTTTTGAAATAAGCTTGAATGTTGCAAAATCCTTTGCTCATTACTACACTTACTGTGCAGGTGAAGATGGTCCAAGGCTGCCTTACGGCAGTTAGTGTTCGGCGGTGCCTGCTCCCCCATGGCTCCCCCGGTGGGAAGCGAGTGTTTAGAAGAAGAAATGCTCATCCTCAGATTCAGATGCAGAAGGTTCTTCATCTGAAAACAGAAAGGAGAAAACTCAAGAAGCAAAACCATTGATGTAGTGGAAAAAATGGTCTTAAACTACAATTTTTGTAGTACACGTGTGGCTTAATGTGATACCTTGTTTACCATTCATCCTAAGAAGATGTAACATGATTTTACAAAGTTTTGCTAGCTACTTGTAAGCTTCTCAGTTTCACTTCTGGCTTTGTAAAAGCTCTGAACTTCTGTAGAGAATAATTTGAAAGCATTCGGGTGCCTATGTGAAACCTTACAATGTGATTCACCCATTTTTCTTCCCACCAGGTTTGGAGGAGACCAGCCAGTATACATCAATATTATTAGAGATCCTGTCAATCGATTTTTATCCAATTATTTTTTTCGACGTTTCGGAGACTGGAGAGGAGAACAGAATCACATGATCCGTACCCCCAGCATGAGGCAGGAGGAAAGATATCTGGTATGTTTAAATAAAAGGCTCTGATTTCCCCATTTCCCAGCATCGTTACATAAGTCTGATGTTCAAACTGGATGCTTGAAAAGTGGGAGACTGAGGTATCTTCCGTCTTGCATTTTTTCTCTTTGTCTTGCCTGGACCTTGGTTTGGTCAGCTTTAGTGTGTAGAGTGTTGCTGATGAATTCGGTGATACAGTTTGTTCTTGTATAAGCTAACAGCAAGTCCCAGATTGCCACCATTGAATTACAGTCCTTTCACTGAGTTGGATTTTCACTGTGTAGTGGTCAGGCATAATAATTCTGCCCATATTTATCACTGTGGATATTCAGACGGATTTTTAGGTTGAAACTATGTCCGTAACTGTGCAGCCTCAGAGGAAAATTGAGCAATTCAGTGATCCCAAGCCTCCAGTGTTTTTGCTTTTAAGTTTTGCGGTGTTCTTTATACCAGGGCTCTGATCTCAGTTCTTGGTTTGGTTTTGTTCCCTTTTTTGGATTAAGAAGGTGGTAATAATGCTGGATAAGCTGTTCATAATAAGTTTTTTATTTTGCATAACTGCTGAACTGTCATAATGCCTGTCAGCCTTTGTCACGGACCAAGGTCCTGTTGGCAGTACATTTGTTCTACAAATGCTGAATGAGAAACACAGAAACTGGGGAGGTGGTCGCTTTGTTTGATACTGATCTCTTTGCATGCACACCCAACACCTCCCTAAGACGACAAAAACATGGAATTAATTCTTACGACTCTATAATGGAGATCTAGTTTGAGGGTTCAATGGCACAGCAGTGACAGGACAGCTTGATGGTCTGCTACGAGATGTTGCGGGCCAGATATAACGTCAAAGCAAGAGACGGCTGTGGCATCTGGAGAACAAGAAGAGGGGAGGTTTTAATGATGATTTGAAGGGGCAGGAGAGTACAAGATGTGGTGAAGGTGAGCTGTAGAGAACACAGCTCTGGATAACTGCCATGCAACACGTTTCCATCCTAGCTGAGGTCAGATGGCTCCAAGGAGGGCTGGGGTTTTTTCCCATATGACAGGGCTGTGTTGATTTCTTTTGTACTTCATTACTGTTGTGTGTTATGCAAAGCCCTGTGAACAGATAAGCTTATAAATTATGAATAATTGAAGGAGGGGTGTATCAGTATAACTAATGTATAGCCTTAAACTTTAATGACATCTGCTATACAGATGTAAACTCATTCCGATAATGTTGCAAAGGTTTTCTTATTTGCTATGTGTCTAGAGATACCGAAGAGGTCCCTGTGTCAGCTGACTAGGTTTTGACCTCCTGGTGTGCAGGGTTGGAAGGCAGTCCCAACAGCTTCACGTGCTGCCTGCATGGGCTCTTGCTTCCTCGTCTGTGAACGGGACAGGGGGGTTGCAGAAATGAATGCAGGGTGGGGTTTTGACTATGTTATTATTTTGTTAGCGCTGTCATGTTTTCTTTTTTGAAAATGTTAAAAATGAGCAGTACAGACTGTACTTCACTCTGAGTGCCTCTGCTTCTCATCTGAAGTGGAACGTGCAGCGATTGGCACTGCTCATGACTGGCTGACTCTGTAAATGCTGGTATTAAATCAGAACCGCCTGTGCGGTTTAAGATGTGATATGTACAGCCAGTGAAATTTTACTTCAAGCAGAATTGAAATGAATAGATCTAATTCCTGTGTAGGTTTAAAAGCTAATAGAAATCACCTTGCATTTTCATTTGCGTTGGGATGTTCTTTAAGAAATTATTTATATGCACACACAAATGTGTACACATACAGAGATGAGTACAAAAGCAATAATGAAAAGGAAATAAAAAAGTGGCTGTCTGAGGTCAGTAGTCATTTTGTTCAAAACACAGTTGTCAGTCTGAGGCACCTTCAGCATCCTTTATAAAAACTATTTTTGCTTTTTCGTTTTCATCTTCTCTATTGGTAATTCAGACTTAGAAGCCTGGAAATGTTTTTGGCATCTGTCCTCCATCCCTCCTTGGCAGACTTTGGCTGTCACTTGCACTGCTTGAAGAGGGTGGTTGCTCCTGTCACAGTAACATATAGGCCACCCGCCAGTGAAATTAATTTTAACAAAAGCCGTTCATTCCAAACATTAAGCATTTTTAAGACTTGTGCTATCCAACCACATAATATATTGCATGACTGCATTTTAATCTTTTCTTCAGTGGTGCAAGGAAATCTGCTGGCATATGTTTTAAAACTCAGGTAATGGATTTTGTGGAATGGTAGCTTCAGAAGTCTGCTAAATCAATTGCCTGGGCTAGCTGTGTAGAAGGTAAGCAGCTGGTTTTACCTCTGCACGTGAGCCAGTGCGGCCCTTTAGCACACACCTGCTGGCTGGCCTCAGACCTCTTGCAATTCTTCCCTAATAGATATTTTTTTTAATTGAAAACTCACCAGAAAGCATTGCTTTCTTACAGGGGACTATTTGAAGGACAAGCTTAGATTTAGCATAATAAATAGTTTCCATATTGATCACAGTATTAAACCCAAGTCGTTTGGGATGGGGTGTGCCTGCTTGTGAGCAGACACGTGAAAGCAGGGGGGAGGATAGGAGAAGCTTTTACTTTTCTTCTTCCGTCATGCTTCAGGTCAACAGCTAGGAAAACACAAAACTGCTGATTGCTCCACAACATTGAGCTCGTTGCTGAAGAGCCTGAGAAGCCTTATGTTGACAGCAGTTACAGACTTACAAAATGGACCAGAAAAGCTGTAAATGTAACTCCTCTGTTTTACCAGGAGAGACAGGTTTGCCTGCCAAAAGACGTACAACTTTTGAAACTAGGGTATTAGGGACTAATTGTGCTTTTCTCAACCATGATGTTTCTGGCCTCCCATCTTTTGGAAGGTGTTGTGGCCATCTTGGCATCTTGGTCAATAGCTGCCAACACTGGCCGCCTCCCTTGAAAAGCTGAGGGCAGTGTGCATTTGCTCTCAGAAACTGCAGTGTGAAGGCGTCAGAGCTCAGCACCTCTATAAAGTGGGCTCTGAAGGGAAGAAAAGCATTTTAACATCAGGTTTTGTTATCCGATGAGCTCCTGCTTGGCCATCAGGTTGTGATATCCTTAATGGAGGCAATCCCTCCCCTCACTTCTGATCCTTAAGGAAAAAAAAAGGAGGTGAAAAAAAAAAAAAACCAAACCTTGAATTCTTGTAGTACCTTGGATGCCGGTTTCGACTTTGAAAATCCGAACTGCTGAGATTGCAAAGATCAGAAACAGAGACAGAAATTTCCACTGTTCAGTGATCATTTGAAATTTTCTCTGAATAGAGCTTCAGGCTTTGACTATGTTCCAGAGAAAACAACCATTCATTCAGGAGTCAGATAAATTGTTTTAAATGTTTCAGTAAATGCCTGTGTTTACCAAAATTTAATTGAAAGCCAGGGTAGAAAACAAGCCCTTTATTCACGAGTCAGATATGGCAGAGACAGCTGCTGCAATGTGAGACTTTCCACCCAGATCAGCCAGCTCCCTGCCCCGACCTGGTGCTTCCTCTGCCAAGCTTCCCCAAAATAAACAGTGGCAACGCGTTGCTGTGGAACATGGCAGAGAGGTAATGGTCTGAAATGGTGGCCAGCACCTCGAGTCGAGTCTCAAGCACACTCGGGCAAGAGTCGCCCTACCTTATGGTCCTGTAAGATGAGATGAATTCACAAAAGTTAATTTAAATCCATCATAGTGAGTGTGATTCAGGCTGAACTAGAGTTCTTGGAGTAAATACGCTTCAGTAAAGCAAGTAACCCCGTATCAGTGCAGCTGTGAGTGCTGCTGGTACCAAGCAAGAGGTACCAGCACCAGATGATTTAGTTTAAGGCGTAAGAATGCAGTAGGTAGGAACCACTCCTGATAAAGAGCGGGACTGCCGTAAGTATTTGAAAGCTTTGTCTTAAAAATTGTCCTTTCCAGAGAAGGTTTGTTAGCAATTACCTAGTATTTATTGCAACTGCAGCCTGAGACATCAAATACAAAAGGTAGGTCTGGGTTTTTCATCTCTCCTTAATACTTGCTAAAACTTTGATCTCAGGCCACCAAGGTTAGATGAGTGTGTGAAGCAGCCTGGGCTGCAGATCGTTGGCTGAATTGCAGGAAATCTGGTTGTATGTGATTCTGGTCTCTAGGCTCATGAGTAGCGTGGCTCCTAACCTACTCATGTACAAGATCTTAACGTCTTCGGGCTAATTTGCCAGAAGAGAGAGGTTTTGTGTAAAAAAAAAAAAAAAAAAAAAAAAAAAGATCATTCAGTAAATTAAGAACTTGTCACCTACCTGTAAGACATTTCGAATTTTCATTAGAATTAGTGGTTAAGTTTGCAGTACAGTTCTGTCAGGCTCTACGTAGTCTTTCAGCTTCATCTCTGAAAATAAATGTGCTTTTCTCCGCTAAAAATATTCTAACAATATTCAGCCTCAGTTATGCTAAAGATTATTCATACAAGTAAAGGAGCATCAGTCTTTTAGTCTTTTAAATTAAATGTTAAAATATTTATAAAAAATGTGTTAGGATTACTGCAAAGGAGGGACGTAAAATTCAAAGGACATCAGGGAACTTGCAAGTCAAGTTTCTTACAATGATAGGGACCTCTCCTGTGGCAAAGACTGGCTTCCCTTGCTAAATACTTAAACCAGTGTTGTTTAGGTTGTTTCAGAAAGTTTAAACAAAATTCTAGAAAAAGCTGAATGGTTAAACTCCATATAACAATATTTTATTCCTGAATTTTTATAATTCCCTTTTATGACTCCATTGTTTTTCATTAACATAAGGGTTTTCACTAAATACGCTTCCTCAATTTTATTACTTCTATCCCCAAATTTCTATTTACGATGAAAAGTATTCTTTCACCAATTGCATTGGCTTTCTGATGGCATCTAGCTGCCTTAGTTCATGCCTTTATCTGGTTAATAAAAATATTTAACCATGGCTAAATGTATTGTGAATTTTCAGTCGTAGCCACACATCGAACTTTCTCCTTCATGACTTCAGTTACGTTTCTTGA